GAGCGTCGTCCCACTGGGACCCTGCCCGGGAGCAGGCTCTGCCCCTGAGCCCCGTAAGGCATTTAGCCACCCCCAAGGCTGCTTCCCGGCTTTCGGGGTGGCTGTAGGAACCGTGGGCAGGTCCCGGTGGGTGTTGAGCACTTAGCAGTGCCCCAAGCATGCGGAGCTGCTCTCTCCTCCCACTGCGTTTCATGCTGTTTCACCGAGGGGGAAACCACAGGAACTGCTAAGTAACTTTGGGGTTTTGATGCCTCGTGCAGCCTTGTGAGGCCTCAGAGAGTTGGGGCTAAAAACCTGCACCTCCCTGGAGATGCTGTGCTGGCCCATGCTGCGTTTATCCATCATCCGGAGGGGAAAAGAGTGAGGGAAGTCAGTCTGGGGGGCTGCAGGCTCCGCACCCCCTGCTCCAGTCCCCGGGCAGCAGCCTAGGGAGAGCAGGGGGCTTTTGCTGGGGAGGAAGGGCGTGGGGCTATGAGTCTCCCCAAACCCCTTTCCCCTGAGCTCCCCGAGCTCCAGGAGGGTTCTCTCCATGGCCCCGTGGGTGCCAGCAGGACCATGCCAGAGCCTGGTGCCCTCCCGGCAGCGCCCAAGTGCTGGTGGAGCTGCCCTCCGCTTCCTCAAGATAAAGATTTGGCTCTGAGCATCCTAGGATGGTTCTGGCTTAATTTTTTTCCCCTGCAGAGGCCATCCTGATTTTCCTTTCACTCTGGTCCAAAATTCCCCACCTCTCTATTTTTAGAAGACAAGGGGGAAAACCAGCCCGAGCTGCTCAGAGGCTGGAGCTACAAGACAAGCACAGAGAAGCCTGAAGCAGGCAAGCACAGCCTGAGCCCCGAGCAGCCCCAGTGCGGGACGTCCCACCCACCCCCCTGTCCCCTCCAGCACCACCATTGCCCCTCGTGTGACTCAGAGCCACTCGCTGCCTCGCCTCGGCACAACGGCTCCCGTGGGGCCAACAAGATAAATTGCAATTAAGCCCCCTCGCTCCCAGCCTTGTGCTGAGCGAGGAAAGCAAAGGGGAGTGCAGCCGGCTGGCTGCCCTCTCCTCTGCCACCAGCAAGGGCCATCTCAGGAGAGCAGGGAGGAAAGCATCGGTCCTCGTGCCAGGCAGCCACAAAAGCACCTTCTGAGCTGTTGGTGGTGGAGGTGCTCCAAAGGACGGCATTAGTTTTGGCTTGTGGGTGCCAGCGACGATGGAGAGGGGAAGGGGAGCAGAGATACCCTGCTCACATGCCAACAGGTAGCCCCTGTGGCTGTTTTCTGACTCTCCCCTCCAGCTCCCTCACAGGACATCCGATATACACAATTTTATCCGTTACCAAAGAAGCCTTATTTGTTATAAGCTGACACGGGACGCTCCTGAGCGGCAGCTACCCAGGAGCATTTCTTATTAATAGCCAGCAAAAAGCCTCATGTGTGAATTCAGCTTCACTTATGGGTGTATCCCAGAGAATCAATACATTTCTCAGTTCCCATTTCCTTTCTCAGGAGCATCATTTCATGACAGCTGAGCATAGGAAATACTGGTTAAAAGTAATTTGCATTCCTCTAGAAGGACTAAAAAGTGTTGGCAGAGTGGAAAAGCAGACCATCACCTCCAGCTGACCACTCAGAGTGTCAGGGTTTTGTTTTCACCAGTTTACCGTCTCCCTTCGGGCGAGTTTGAGGCTGGCGTCTCTCTCCTGGAGAAGCTGAGCACTCCAGAGTCCACAGGTTTCTGGGCACCTGTAGATACAGACAGGTGACTCGTAGCATTTACCTCCAGCCCAGGAGAGCCAGGCACAGGTCTCTGCATCTGCTAATGAAGCATCCGCAGCCATCCTGCCTTTGGGGTCCCAGTGAGGTGTGAGCTCTGGAGCCACCTCCAGCTGCCCACCCTGTATGTTATTGCTGCTACTTGGCTTCTGCACCACCAGATCCTCCCAAATCTCATCACCCTCCTGCTTAGCCTCTGGACTTCAGCTCGCCAGCTGATATCAAGGCTTAGCGCGGAGCCGCAGGGCACGAGCCATCCCACTGGGGCTCATGGGCTGACACAAGCCGCTCCGTGGGAGCAGCGTCCCTCTGTGAAGGAGCGGGCGTGAGCTGTGCTGCTCCTCCCTGCAGCGGCAGGACTGCCACATGTGCCGGAGGACCATGGTTCGCGTGCAGCTGAGGAACCAGTTAATTCTCTTAAAGAAGTCGAGTTTCCTGTGAGCCATTTTACCTCTCATACCACAGCGCAACTTCCCTCTCTGAGCAGCATCTGTGCCAGTTTGCTCGCACTGGGGGGAATCTGCCCCATTCCTCTTGACCAAAGTCCTCATAAGGAGTTTCAGTCCTTTTTGCAAAGGATATTTTCAGTTGCTACACAGCAAGGAAATGGGCTTCACTCCACCTGCTGTTGCTTTCCCTTGGGATTGCTGAATGGGCATCATCTGGGTGAGACCCTGATGAGGGAGCCCTGGTGGGACTCAGGCAGATTGCCCAGGCTCCTCGTTTTCCCATGTCCCCGCTGCTGTTTGACCCCATCCTGGTCACAGAGCAGCCCCCGAGTGCTGAGACACCACGGCTGTGTCCATGCAGAGGCGCTGAAAGGGACTGTCTGCACGTGGTCGAAGCTTTAGGAGCTGACACGCAGCTCTGTTCCCCACCGATGCTGGGTGGGATGCCAGTGCGAATCCACCTCTGCGCAGCCTCACCACCGCCAGCCTCTCCTCCCCGAGGCTGAGGAGGCTGCTCGGGTAGTTCTTGGCCATCACCAGCCCGGGGAAGTCATGCCTGGGTTCGTTAAACGCACACAAGACCGGAAGCAGACGCTAACAGCACACG